ATAATATAGTAGCAGCAGTAATAATCTTTAAACTGCACAACTCGAAAGGATCTTGCAGATCATTAAGACCATCCCATGTCAAAGAGGCACTGTGGGGTATTGAGCTCCCAGCCTCTGGCTCCACAGCCAGATACCTAAAATACAGAGCTATCCAGCAGCTAATAAATATTAATATGCAAATACACACATGCAAGTAACCCATCCAAAATAATGGTTTGCATAACATGGCCCATTGTCAATATTCTTGGGTAAATGCTAGGAGCTCTTTGCCTTCATTATCTCTATTCATTGTTTTTGTCTGGTCTGATTCCTCTTTTAAAACAAGGGTCCCCAACATCCAGTCCATGGCCCAGTACCGGGCTGTGGCCTTGGCAGGACCGAGCTGTGGCGACAGATCTCCCCCCCCCCGCGCTCACAACCCCGTACACAACGCCCACACATGCACGGACGCCACCTACCCACCCCCCCCCGCCCACTGAACCAGTCCATTGTTCAAAAAAGGTTGGGGACCAATGTTATAAAACATATCAAGAAATTTCACACAGCACTGTAAACAGTTGCAGATCTCAGAAATCACACCATCAGAGCTACAAAAAACGTGTCTGGGAGCTGACATTGTAATTTCCCACAAAACTACTGATGAAGCTGGAACATCAGAGCCTACCATGGTCACTCACAGCTACCTAGTGTTGAATTAGGGAACTGCAGTTGCCCATATGGAACCCTTCCATGGGCCACCAAGGTAGGAAACGCCTCACACCAGAAGGCACTCTGCCTAGCTCCTCAAACCTGGAGTTGGCCTTGGGGATGATTATGGAATTACTGTAGGTGGTGTGAGGATTATCCCTAACAAACTCTATGTCCTGCAGAGGCAGTTTTGTTATATGACTAGACACAAAAGTATCTCGTGTAATGGTCTTAGTAATGCAGACACTGACCCTGTAAAGTAGCCTGGTATTGCCATGTGGCAGATGAGTTGATCGTGAATATTAACATATAAAGGGGTCGATCCAGCCCATACTCTGAACTGCTCAGTTACACCTGCTTTCTGTGCAGTTACCTGGTGATGGCACTGAAGACTCTTCTCCTGGCTGTGAGATGTTATTATGAATTCACTCTTATTGAGAAGCAGCAGGGCTGGGAGCTGCTCACCAACTGTGAAGACCACCATCGAGGTGTAGGTCTTCTTGCAAGGTGAGTACTAAGCATACTAAAGTGCATTCAGCCAGGTGCAGAGTTAACCACTGACTTCTGCTTTCCCTCTGTTCTGTGTCTCCTATTCAGAGCCATGCTTCAGAGTTCCTATTATTTTGACCTTCAGAGAATCTTGTACCTCCTCGTTCCCTTCTTGGAGCGAGGTGATGAAGAACACCAGATCACAGCAATAGCTTTCTTCATTGAGGTAAGCAGTGGTGTAATAGAACCTGGTTGCAGGGGAAGGACACCCATTGTCACCTTGGGTTTAACTGCAATCCTCAGTAACTGAGAAAATGGATTCTGCCACAAAGAATATACTGGTACAAAACACCCTTGTTGCAATGGAAAGTATTTTAAGTCTTGAATAGACAACTGAGAGCCATTTGGTTTCTACAAGTTCCTCATTTGTTAATATGGCTCAATTCAATTGTCTCAATTTTTGAACGTGCTTTGAGATGGGTGGCTTTGGGGACTGTCGGGATGAGCAAATGACTCAAATGAAATGTATTACAAATGGGGCAAGTGTTAGTGAATCTGTTGTGCTTAATGAATCTGTTGTACTTTTTCCGGTAGTTGCCACTGGTGCGATAAGTACACGTTGGTCAAACAGAAGGTGTGATGATGATAATGGTGGTGGTGGTGATGATATGCCATCAGTTCAGTTCTGACTTATGGTGACCTTTGCCAGGACGTCCTAGCTACATACTATATTTAGGAATATTTTAGCATTCCCTTCTTCTGGGGGTGCTCTGCAGTCATGTAGCTTTCACAAGGCTACACCAGTGGCTCCTGTCCTGGAAGGCACACTGGAGAATTGAACTCCTGGCTTCACAAACAGGTACACCAACTCATTGAGCTAATCCAGTTAAAATGGATTATATTTGTCTCTGTGCACTTGAAAAGAAGTACTTTTCTTTTGGATTGTATTGTGCAAACATCAGCTTTAGCAAGCTCCACATTCACAGAACAAATTAAGTCATATGGTTGTTGTGGGTTTTTTGGGCTCTTTGGCCGTGTTCTGAAGGTGGTTCTTCCTAACGTTTCGCCAGTCTCTGTGGCCGGCATCTTCAGAGCACAGTTTGCTGTCCTCTGAAGATGCCGGCCACAGAGACTGGCGAAACGTTAGGAAGAACCACCTTCAGAACATGGCCAAGAAGCCCGAAAAAACCCACAACAACCATTAGATCCTGGCCGTGAAAGCCTTCACGAATACAAATTAAGTCATAGTTTGCCTTTTCTGTCAATCTAATGGTATTTATTTAAACAAAAACAATGCAGCTTGGACAACAGACATTATAAGCAGTAACAGACCTTACAGTATTGGCAAGGCCAACCCAATTAAGCAGGGTCAGGCAACTGCTTCAGATGGCAAGTGTTAGGACCAAGAGGAAATGAAGAGCTTACATCCATGTTGAGGCTCACCTACATTGTGTTGTTGTTATGATATTTAGAAGCACCTTTTGGTCAGTGAGTTTAAGACAAAGGGATAAACCAATTATACAATTTGGCCCTTTATTTAAAAAAATATATATACACTTTGTAGACCAAATAAAGCCCCCCTGGTTTCCGTTTGACATGGACCAGCAAGAAGCATGTTGTACATCCAATGGAAGAGATGCTGTACTCTAAAAGAATGATAATTGAGTCCGAGAAGGAAGCTAATTAATTTTCAGCATCTAGATTTTGGCGGGTGGTGGTGGGTTTGCTTCCTATAACAAAGGGTAAGCAACTGCTTGTCAAAAAAAGTTCTTGCTGACCTGTGCATTGTCTTTAGCTTCTTTGTATGCCAGAGGCCAGGAGACTTCCAGACCAATATTCCCTTCATCGCATGAAACGAGGTCTGATGAATGAAAGTCCAGTTATCCGGGTATTATGTATCAAGGGACTGATTAACATGGCAGACTGGCCAGGAAAGGTGAATGACAAAGCCCATCCTCCAGTTTTAATGAAAACAACTTAATAGGATTTAATTCAATTATTGTTCCCAACTTGAGAAGACTCACTGAATGACTGGGATGAGCCAACGTTTATATAAGTCCTCATTAATTCAGTGGGTACTTCTTTGTTAGTTAAGACTAACAACTGGATTTTGCCGGAAACAATAATTCAATATGTAATTATTAATTGTGGACTTGTAATATAGTATATGATTATCTATAGTCTAATAAATAAATGAGAATATGAAGGGATCCAATGGAGTTGGAACTGATCACAGTTCCCCAAGCAGAATCTCTTAGGTAGGACAAGTGGAACTCCAGAGTGAAATAACAAGCAGGAGATGCTAGTGGGATGCTCTTCTATCTGTCACTGAACTTGGAAGGTTCCACAAACTGATACTCCCATCATTACTATACCTTTGCCCATCTAGTTTCTTAGAGCTGGTCAGATACCTTTCCTTTGGGTGGTCTTGGATTTTGTATTCCTGTGGACAGGTGGCTGTAAGAGCATGCTCTGTCAGGAGGACAACTCCCAATCAGAGAGCCATGCTCACTGGTGGATACTTGGAGCTGTAAGTCGAAGAAGTAGCATTTCTAAGCTCTGACCTGAGTTTTTCTTCCTTTGGAGAAGAGAGCAGTGGAACCTTAAGGTGTCTTTTTAATCACTGCTTTATATTTACATACACAGGTAAAGCATAACTGAAAGCAAACAAGAGACAGTTCTGTTTAGCAGCAAAGCCATTACCCCATTCCAAATCCCTCTGCTTTGGAGAGGAGAATGTGTCTAATTCCTAATGTTGTTAGGCTGTGGCTCCCATCAGTTGCAACCCAAGAGCCAATGATAAAAGTGATGATATAATTATAGTTCAAAGTATCTGAAGGGCCACATTTTCCCATCTCTGTTTCTATAAATAAAAGCTCTTTATTTTTATTTTTAAATCTACACAATCACACTCATTTCACAAGCATTTTAAGTAGGAAAAGCATTGATCAGGACAAACGGAATGACACACCGGGCAACATCCTGCTGTGTAATTTTGTGCTGGCATAACCTGGCTTTGGCACAGAGGTATTTCATTTAAAGGAATTCAGAGTCTCTTACCCTGCTTCTTTCAGCTTCCAAGGCTCCTTTTTATCCTGGAAAAGCCTCCAGGAGCCTTGGGAAATGGGGAGGAAGTCTTTCTTAGTCACAAATCACCACCAAATTGCCACCCGTGGTCTGAATTTTTATGGCCTTTTTAGGCCCTATTCTACTGCTGAGGCTTATCATTGCTGGCCCATGGGCCATTATCCCCCCCCCAGGTCCTGCAGCCAGAGCTTATAAATGAAATGAATGAGGAGTTGTGTAACATACAGTAAACAGAACTATCCTAAAGAATGGCCATTTCATCTTTTCTGCCTTAACAGCTTTGTTCTGATAAGAAAAAGGTAGAAGAAGCAATGGGGAAACATGGGAAAGTTGTTAATGGATGGCAACACAGTCTGGCCTGTTTGTAAAATTCCACGAGTTACACAGGATGCTTGTACAATAAGAGGGTTTAATAAGACAAAGAGAAAGGTTTCCATCTGATTGCACCACTTTGCCAGGATCCCTTAAAGTGACCCCTCCATCTATGGGGGAATTGCTCCAGCTTAGCCCTAAAAAAAGAGTAGTCCAGCTACTGGACCAAAAAGGTCCAGCTTGGGCATGGATCAGGGTTAGGCTCTCATACATCATGAGTTTGCCTGGAAATAACTCACACTGGACCGAGCTACAAGTGGTCCAAAATGCAAACTCTCTTCCCTTCTGATCGTCTCACCTGGAAGATCCCGCAATTCCTCTTTCTCTCATGCAGGAAGTGAAGCCCTTACTGCCAGCTATGACAAAAAGCCTGTCTGGCATGGATGGACAGCTGTTTGTGGAGACCGTTGCTGAAATGGAAACGCTTCTCACCAGCAGTGAAGAAGTGCATTGTATTCGGAACATCACCCTGTCTCTTCAAGAACTGTTCCATGATGTAAGACACCAACACAATACTAACTATCTGGAGGCAGTTTTGTAATCTCAGACATCTGCTCCCACTCAGATTCATGGATAAGGAAAAAGCCAGAGTAGTGTAATAACTAGAGAACCGAAGTTGATTTGGGAAGCCCCTCAGCAGAAGAGCACAGGCCTGCCCAGACACACTGTTGCTCTGCCTAGCCCATTTCACCAGGTTGTTATGATGAAATGGTTGGGGAGGGAGATCCATGTAGATTCCCTTGAGCACTAAGGAAGATCAGGATATGTCATAAATAACCATTCTGCACATTGTTCTGTATTGTACAGCTCAGCAAGAAAGAATGGGGAAAGCCCAAGGTATTTTGATGCCTGAGGAAGAAAGTCTAAATGATGTCAAATATAATAATAAATTAAGGCCAAAATCCAACAGTGTCCTTTGGTATTCACCACCAGAGGGAATCGGGAGTTTCTTCTCCACAGTGCCAGAAACCTGCTTTTTAAAAAAATCCCCCTCCACAGCAGGTTTTTAGGGGGACTTGAAGAGAGAGAGTGGGTTTGCCAACTCTGAGGGAAACACTGGAATCGAGTGAATGTACACTATTGGATGCTAGCATAAATAATTGAAATATCTTCTGTTTTTTCACTGTATCTGCAAATCTGTCTCAGCTTGCTGAACAGAGACGCCTAGCTAAAGATGCTACAATTACTTATAAGGCTGAAAACAAAATGGTCAGATGCAGTGTGTGCATATTGCTCTCCACTGTAGCTATCCATCCGGCTTTCTCTTCCGCTTACAGGAGAGAGAAGATGTGCGTGCCTCTGCCATTTATCTTTTTGGGAAAATGGTGAAACTGGCCAAGAAGAGCAACAAACCAATGACAAGGCAGCAAGTGTTAGAAAATGTGGTTCCACTGCTTCTGCATCTTCAAGAAGAGAACTGTGACATTGCCCAGGCAAGCTCCTATTAACGAATACTGTAGCTGTAATTTCAACGGAATCATCAAGATACTTTCCAACAAGAGCATGAAAACAAAAGTCATAAATAATTTTTCCTTTGCCCATCTGTATACATAACTGGCCAAAATCCTCTTGTTTAATATAGGAAATTGCACAAGATTGGGCCCATTGAATCAATGGGAGGTGAGTGAGTTAACTCCTCCACAAATTTCATTGATTCAAATGGACCCACTCTAATTATGACTTACTTTAGCATACTAAAGCGCAGTTACAGTAGACCCATGCAAATCAATGGAATTTACAGAGGAGTTGACTCAACTAAATCCCCACTGGTTTAGTGGACCTACTGTATGTTGACTTACTACACTAAGGAGCAGGATTTTATTAGCAGAGTGTAGAAATTGATGCCTTGAAACCTCCAGCTATACAGCTGAGAAAAAAAATGCAGACAGGAACCTAAAGAGCAAATATTGATAATTACAAATCTCCCTCAAATATACCACCCCTTTTTGTATAGTTTTAGTTAGATTAACCTGAACTGGCAATCTAGCCTCAATAGATTCAGTCAGAAACTGTGGTGTTAAGAATAGAAAATGTTTCTGTTTTACTTACAATTCTTCATATATATCAGAATAACAAACAAAATGTATTTACTGATTACATAGTTGGAGATCTTAACTGTTTAGCTTCATTATTTGACTGACTAATTACATAAACACTTCACTCAGACTCTAACTGCTGACTCCATAACTGTTAGAATCGAACAATCACATAACACTGACATTGCTAATTGAATCAGAACCCTGAATGAGTAAAAAGGCAAGAAAAGGAATCCAACAAAGGGAGGGAACAATTGACTGCTACTGTGTGATTGACATTCAGCCCCAAAGTCCCTCCCACCCAAACCTCTTAAAGGCAGAATATGTACTGCTACTGTGTGATTGACATTCAGCCCCTGTCAAGTCCCTCACATCCAAACCTCTTAAAGGCATAATACTGTATGCAGGTTGCTGAATTCCAACAGATTTTGACCAAGAGATGCTATATTTCTCAGAATGGATTCTTAGGAAAGATTCCAATGTTTTTTTTTCTTGTCTAGGAATAATTTGTCCATCTTTTCTTAGGTTATGCAATAGATGCATGGTGTTATATTTTGAATAACGCAAAATATAGGTTGTGTCCTCATGTCTTGCAGAAAAGTAAATATGCTGTAGATGAATCCTTCCATTTCCTGGGATGGAAACCTCCAAAGCATGTTGTCAGTGGGAAAGCTTGGCATCAGCATGAGGAGGTTCTGGATGAAACCTGCCAGTATCTTGTATGTTATCAGCATGTTATTTGGTAGCACAAATTATTCTCAGGTCTATGACAAGAAAAAGACATAAAACAAGCCTGATTCTAGCTAGAATTGTGACCCTGAAAGTTATGTATACATTTTAAATGTTGATTTTTCAGAGGAATCTGTACTTTGTTTAATCTTTGCACTGGAATCTCTAAAAACTGGTGATGGTGGTATTTACATATAGCATTTCTAAGCATGCAAAGCACCTCACACATATGAGCTACACTTCCTAAAATAGTCCTCTGAGATGCACCAGCACAATGTATGTATGTACATATCACAAATGTGGACCTGAGGTATCTAATGTCTCTTGGTAAGTTAATGATGATGTGAAATTTGAATGACAAGTGTCCTAGCTCAAGATGCAGGACTGTACAGCCTCCCAGAAATTACTGGACTGCAAATCTCATCACTCCTTGCCAGGACTACTAGTGGTAAGGGATGCTGAGTGTTGCAGGCCAAGGTCATCTGAGGACTATAGGCTGCTCGCACTGACTCCTAGTTTATAAGTGATTATCTTCATAAACTGTTTAGCTTGAATTATGTGCCAATTTCTCATCTCTTTTGAGTGAAGCCACTTAGACATGTCTTGTGTTTTCAGGTGCAGACACAACAGGGAAATCTCCAGAGGTTCCTGTACCAGGCCATTTTCTACACTGAGAGCCCACTTCTTGCTATAAAAAGAGCTGCCATCATGTTCCTTGGTAAATGAAAATGAGTGGTCCTGCTGAACTGGACTTCCAGTAGAGGTTTTCATGTTTTGTTTTGACTGAGAGCCCACTTCTTGCTATAAAAAGAACTGCCATCATGTTCCTTGGTAAATGAAAAAGAGTGGTCCTACTCAACTGGACTTCCAGTAGAGGTTTTCACGGGGTTTTTTTGCACACATCTGTCTGGGTGGAGTCTAGTAGGTTTCTTCCCCAGCAGCTACAAGATCAGCGTGGACACATTTTTCAAATAAGTTTAGCATAAAGTCCTTTGTGTACTGTCATCAGCAGGAAATTTCTACAGGCTAAAAATCTTTATCAGGCCCTTTTTACCAAGCAACAGCTGTAGGGCACGGATGGAAAGTGGACAACCCTAAAGGCATTAGCAGATGCCCTTCCAGTCAGCCCTCATTGTTCTCTATACAGTGGTGCCTCGCTTAACGGGTGCCCCGTTTAACGACGAAATCGCATAGCAATTAACTTTTTGCGATCGCTTTGCGATGTTCCCTATAGGGAAAAATCGCTTTGGGATGATCGGTACCCTGTTTCAATTACCGATCATCACAAAGCGATGATTTTTTAACAGCTGATTGACAGTTCCAAAATGGCCGCCGGGTAAAAAAAATGGCCGCCTGCTGTTTTCTGGGACAGATTCCTCGCTTGCCGGGCAGCGAAAATGGCCACCGTATGGAGGATTTTCACTTAAAGGTGAGTCTGAAGCCCATAGCAACGCATTGAAGGGGTTTCAATGCATTCCTATGGGCTTTTTAATATTGCATAGCGACAAAATCACTTTGCAGCGATTTTTGCTGCACAGATTATCGTTGCTTTGCGAGGCACCACTGTATTATGTGATGTGTAGCACTGATGGGATTTGCATTGGGAGAGCCACATGTTTCTCATCTCTGATCTAGACATGTAAGACTGCAATCCTAACTTGTGTCCTCGGGTGTTTAACCAAAATCATTGGACTTATTTTGATGTACTGGTTGGTGTATGGGATTATTATGTACACTGCTACTATACAATGACTCAAATTACAGATCTTTATGTGACAACTGCAGGTTTCCTGGTACTTCATATGGACAGCATGGTGGAGAAAGTAGATTTGGATATGATACTTCCAAGTAAGTAAAGAGAAGAGAAGTAAGATAATGCAGTAAGATTTAGGTACTATTTAACCGAGTTTGTATAAGCTGTTTTTTTCTGAATTAATTTGCAAGTAGATGAAGTTATTTTAATGTATGCAGTTAACACTGTTATGAGAGTTATTTGTTTCAGCCTGGGTAGGGGATTGTGTTGTTTTGACCTAGACCATCCTACAATTAAAGTCTCCCAATAAAAATATTAGTAGAGGGTTAATGGTTTTTAAAAGAAATTCTAGGGAACTATCATCTGCTATTAGCAGCAAAAACATTTTTGTGGCATTTTAAAAAGTAACAATTTTTATTACATGATAAAGTTTCACAAAGACTGTCTACTACTTCATCAGATATGTGAAGTGTTACTCATGTTGCAATTTATGGCACATGCTTTGGTGGGTGGATAGTAAACAATGTGAACAGTGGAAACTGAAATGCAAACAATATTGGCAGAAATGATTAGTTTAACAGCCACTTCTAGCAAAATTGGAGTTGGATAGTAGCACAAACACCCTTGCCTTGATGAGCAACACATGTCAAGGGATCAAAATGCCTTTTCCCCTACTGATGTCACAAGAGTTGTATTGGCTTTCTCTCCAGCTAGACTTCCAAAACATTTACAGTAGATCAAAATAATCAAAACTAGATCGAAAACATTTTTAAAAAACCAATTACTGTAAAAGCAGTCTTCAAAAGCAGATCTAGGAGTTCACAAAAAATCAGTTTAAAAATCCAAAAAATCCTAAAGAACGAAAGATATTTGGAACAGTACAGTTTTAGTTGGCTGTCAGAATTTCAGCAGAGATGGGGTCAGCTTAGGTTCCTTTGGGAGAGAGTTAAACAGATGTGGTGTCCCTAAAGTCCCCACTTATGTACCTACCACATACTTCACAAAGCCTCTGTTGAGGATCTCAGATTTTGGGTGCACAGAAAGAGGCCCCAAACCATTTAAGGCTTATAGATCAAAACTAACACCTTGAACTGAGTTTAGAAACAAAAGGGAAGCTTCCTCTTTTATGCTCAGCTGTTTCCCCTTGTCAAGAAGCCTTTCACTTCCTGACTATTATTTTAACACCTGAAAAGAGACTGCTTTAGGCTGACAGATTGTTATGTCAATTCAGTGCTGGATCACCTGACAATTTTTAAAGGGGGAATTCCATGGATAAAATGGAGGGGATGGGAGGAAGGCACTGTTAATTGCATGGGAAGCATTAATGCAGATGATAATTACAGATATTTTGGGTGCAGTGTGATAACTACACCTAGTGCAATGGGGTTAACGAATCATTTCCAGTGTGAACAACAACAGAGGTTCCAGCAGCAGAAACTGCGAGGAGCTTGGGATAAAAAACTCCAAATGAACCAAAAACAACCTCCCTATGTATTTTAGATTAGATCAGGCATCCTTCAGTATCAAGAGACTAGGGTAATGTGCTCTGAATAGAGGACTTGGTACAACATCTAGTGTGGCTGAGAATGCCAATTCAAGAGTGACAACCCTTTCCATACTGAAGACAAATGCAATCTGTCCCCTGTCCAGCTCCCTGATTTTGCTAGTTTCGGGACTGCCTCTTTGCCTCAGCCTGCTGAACATGTGTCTCTTCAAATTGGGAGAGGCCATGCTGCACCGCCTGTCTCCAGGCTGAACACTCAGATGTCACAGTTTCCCATCTGTTGAGGTCCATTCCTAAGGCCTTCAGATCCTGTTTGCAGATATCCTTGTATCGCAGCTGTGATCTCCCTCTGGGGCAATTTCCCTGCACTAATTCTCCATACAGGAGATCTTTTGGAATCCGACCATCAGCCATTCTCACGACATGCCCAAGCCAACGTAGATGTCGCTGTTTCAGTAATGTATACATGCTAAAAATTCCAGCTCGTTCTAGGACTACTCTATATGGAACTTTGTCCTGCCAGGTGATACCAAAAATGCATTGGAGACAATGCATATGGAACGTGTTCAGCTTCCTCTCCTGCTGTGCACAAAGGGTCCAGGACTCACTGCAGTACAGGAGTGTGCTCAGGACACATGCCCTATAGACATGGATCTTGGCATATGCCATCAGCTGCTTATTAAGCTGTATTCTTTTTGTGAGTCTAGACAACAATGTACCTGCTTTGCCAATGCATTTATCCAGCTCGACATCTAGGGAAAGAGTGTCAGAGATTGTTGAGCCAAGGTAACTACAAAGCCCTGTGTAGTTACACTCTCAGTATCCTATCTTTCCACTACACCCATCCCTAACAATAACTTCCATAAATGAGAACAAACCCTTACTTTTCCCAAACCATGTAACCAAGTTGCTGGATCACAATGCTAAGACTTTCTGACCATTTGCCATCCTGTCTGGAGCTTCTGAGAGGTGAAGTCCGGGGAACCCAACTTAGGGCCTCACTGAACTAAATTGCGATGTAAAGAAAATAAATAAATCCATTCAGTGTGTTCTAATTATGATATTTCATTTTTTAGAAGGATATGTACCATCGCCACTTGCCCTTTCCTATGTAATGCTGAAGGTTTAATGTGAAAGGATATTTTCTTTAAATTGGCTTTGTCCTGAATGAGAGATCCTTTGAATGCTAAATATTCTCATTAATTTTCAGCTCTTGAAAGCCTGATGCATGATCCTGATGCAACTGTCTGCATAGCTGCAGCTCATGCCCACGATCGTGTTTTTGCCGTTCTCTCCAGAGGGAAGAACAGGGGTGACATTGCCACTGAAAAGCCTACAAAGTTTTCTAGATCCTCCAATGATCTTCGTGGCAGCTCCTCCAGTCTTTTTCGTGTCATTAGTCTCTGGAGATCTGTCAACAGGAATTAGTATCAAGCTAATGACTGCCTGACATACACCTTTCCATAAGAACAAAGTGGCTGTTAATATCATTTTCCTTACTTTCAGCTTCACCAAGAACAACATGGAAAAGAGGCCAAAAAATCCATCATTGCTTTAACAATGTCTTGGTTAATAAATTTCACCAGTTCCCTCAGATTCCAGCTTGTCAGGCATTAATTTGCAAATAACTTTTTTTAATACCACAAATCAAGGCATATAGGAGCCATTTCTTAACCTCTGTGCAACAATCATGTAATTCTTTAAAATGCCGATAGGCAGACATGCAGACTTACAGTGTAAGAGCAGATCTCCTACTGCCCATCAGATCTTTTGTCTTTTTCGAAATTTAGCTTAGTATTTACATTGGTACAACAGACACAGAGAAAAAGCTTCCAACAAAATACAAACAAAATACAAACAAAATAAAGTTCAACATAGGTCATAAAAAATGGTCAGCACCGCTAGAAGTAGGCGGTACTGCCCTTATCCAACACATTTAAGCACCTGTATATGGCTCATTGAGATTTATGTGCAATATTCATCAAGAACATTTTTTAAATGGTCATGATCCAACACATTTAAGCACCTGTATATGGCTCATTGAGATTTATGTGCAATATTCATCAAGAACATTTTTAAATGGTCATGTTGACAGCATGGGGGTGGGGAAGGAAATTGCTGTATTTTGCTTATTCCTAGTGCTGGCCAGGATTTCTGGGAGTTGAAGTCCAAGAACATCTGGAGGCCCAAGGTTGGGGATCACTGGTCATGTTGACAGCATGGGGGTGTGGAAGGGAATTGCTGTATTTTGCTTATTCCTAGCGACAGGTAGCATATATCATCTCCAGCAGCTAATGTGAAATACATGTAGTCACAAATATTGCAGTTCTATGCTTGCATTGGGCATGGATGATCAGAGGTGAATGTGTGTATTAACCCTTTTGAAAAGCATGCAGTTGCTGTGTCAGCCAATATTGAAAGTTCTCTTTCTGTTGATCTTTGTGGAACTAATTCTGTTCTTGAAGCTCACAACTCAGTACTGCAGTTAACATGCATATATGAAGCTGGCTGAAGGTAATGAATGCTTTTAATTTCCAGCCACTTCTGAAACAACCTGTCCATGCAGCTATGCTGCGTAAGGTTGATGACATCATCAGCTACAGCAATTTTTCAAAAATACAAAAAAATCTAAATTGCTCTGTGAAGGCCCTGTGGCTCCCATGGGATCTCTTTCATTACTGGGGTCCGCAGGACAGTAGAAAGCCTTTATATTCCAAAAAATGCTGCTGTCAGTTTAACTTTACTATCAGCTGCAGTGTCTGGAAGAAGACTTTCTCCTATCTTGTGGCCCTCAATGACTTCCCTATGAGAAAAGGGATTCCATGGGAGCCTGGGTATTTCTGGCAGTGGCAACTGGAATTTTTAAAATTGCTGACTACGTTGTCAGCCTTACTGGTGTAACTTACAAAACAGGATTTCAGCCATTCCAGACAAGCAAGGCTCATGAGCCATCCACAAATGATCAGCATTGCAACTGCTGTGGTGAGCCCCAGCAATCATTTGTGCTTACAGCTGATCTCTGGGCAAGAACAGACAGTATCATAAACGTTTTTA